CGAAGGCCGGGTCGGAACCGGCAGACAAGGAACAGAAACAAGGGTTAAAACCTTAACGGGACCAGGCGCTTCCAGGTCCCGGACTCGCAGGATATGGAAATCGGATGCAGAGCCCGGATGAGCGTCAGCGCCTGGCTTTTAAGGTGGGCTGGGAATAGGGAACAGGTGCAGAGAATAAAGTCTAGAGTGAAAGGGCTGGAGCACCCTTAAGGAGGGGGAACTAATATCGTGACAGTTGGGGTTTTATGTGAAATAAAGATGTCTGGCACACAAGTTAAATATTTGAGAATAGGATCCCATGTTTATTATGTTGTTAATTTATTTACAGACACAATTTTCATAACAAGTTGTGGATGGCGGGCATGGGAGTCTGGGATCTTGAAATGTTCTAAGGTCATAATTAAAAAAAGGTAATATTGCAGGAATCGCAGGCCTAGGCCTACAAAATAACAAAGCCAGTAACTAATCTGTAATTACAAAATAATAAATGACTTGAAAGGCACCTAGCATGACAGTTGCTTAGGATAGGCCTTCATCTTGTACTGTGTAAGTCACTTTTAAAGCTGGCCCCTCTACCTGATCCTGGATAATACCTCTGCACTCACAAAAATGGTGGCTTATAATCAGCTGTGAGAAATCTGCATTTTATGCATTTACCCTGAAGTGCTCTTGCTCCCCACGACTCACCTTACATGTGTTGAAATACTAAATAACAACACAGCGTAAATCTGCTTGTAATAAAGTTGTCATATTTTATCTAGAATTTATCAGTAAGTAAGGACATCTCTTCTTTTATTTCACCTGATATTCATCCGGATTTGGCCTCTATCTTCTACAAATGAAAAAGATGATGTTGTCAGTATGTAGCCTGTTTAATGACACGCCTTGCTTCGTGTTGCTAGGAAACCCCCTTTCAGCAGCCTCTGAAGAAGTGTTCTGTGGTTGGCAACGGTGGGATCCTGAAACACAGTGGCTGTGGAAAAGAAATCGATCGAGCAGACTTCATTATGCGGTAACAAGGCCTTCCTGTTTATTTCTCATAACACTTTTATCATTTTATCGTTTTATTATTGTTCATTCAAACCAGTACATTACTGCTGCTGAAAGATCTAACATTTACAAAAGATAGAATACAAATTTTTTGTAGTGTTTAAGGCTTGAATTTCCCTTGAACTGTCCATTGGAGGATCTCTGCTGCTTGTCACTAATGATAAAGTCAGCCATCAGAGAAAAGTGAGATTCACTTCAAAGATCACAAACATATAAAGTGTGTTTACAATTTTACAGGTTTTAATTTGTAATGGTTCTGCATAAAAGGGTGTGAAAGGCATTGATATTATATTGAAAGAGTGACATGTAACTGTGATTCTAATCTGTAATGCCTAAAACTACATTGACAACAGATAAATTGTAGTTATTAATTGGAAATACTAAAATATTTAGAAGAATGACAATTTAAAATGTTAAAATGGTATCATTGCTATACAAAGAGGCTTGCACATAGAACAAGTCTATGCTATTAAAATAAGCTGGCCGGATGTTTTATGCCTCCATGTCCATGAAATACTGTGTTTTCTCTCAAACTATACTTTTGTTTCAAAGATAAATACTGTAGTTTTGATAAAACAGTAGCTTCACTGACCTATGTTCAGGACACTTATACTCAAGAGAGCTTTTAATCTCTCATTAGTTTGAGCATCCCTTCTATCAAGAAGCAACATTCATTTTAACCATGCAAATAATAAATCAAGCAATGTTTACAATAAGTGCTTAAAATTATAAGTCTGTTATCCTGCACATTCATCTACCAGTATAGAAAAATGTATGTATGGGAATGATTTAAATAAATATATCAGTTCAGTTCTATGGGTGAATTACTATGGATAGTTAGGATTTCTAGATAAGGGTGCATTCATACTAGACTAATGTTGCCCACGTAATGAAAATAATTCTGAATAGTGCAATTAAACACAGAGCCCTGTCTGTCCTTTTTCATTCAACATGGTCTACCAAATGACCTGCTCCAGTTGGTGTATATTGAGGAGATTATCACTAAGAGCTCTAAGCTTTTATATAAATATGTTTTTTGTTTTATCAGTAGACATTTTGTATTAAATGTGTGATAGTGTTTGAAATGTCTTTTTGTGCTTAATTAAAATATTGAATTATTGAGACTTCAGAAATGTCAGCATTATTAGTAATAATGAACTTAATTAATTTTTGTTCTTTATTCAATTCAAACCATTCTTATTTGACGTAAGCAAAATTCAGCAATAAGAAATCCTATTTAATATAAACATTTACAATTTCAACATTTTTGTATAATACCCATAAATATTCTTCTAAATTGATAAATGCATTTTTGTTAAATGTCAAAATCCCCACAGTATTAGTAGATGAGGCTTGTAAAAGGTGTTACTAGGCTGCTTTTGATAGTTTATTTCTAGTTACATGACCAAAACTAAATAATGAGAGGTTCATAGGGCATATGCCGTATGAACTAATATACGCTTGATCGAGAAGCTGTTTTTTTTGTTTTTCTGATTTAATAAAGTGAATATTTCTCAAAGGAACATATTGTCATACTTATATGCTGATCGAGTCAAGCCACTGTAAGCCATCATTTTAAGATGAGTTAAAGTGTTTTATTCCAAAAATGGAAAAAAGCAATCATCTTCTTTAAGGTCATTCAAAAGTCATTTTTTAGACTTACTGAAAAAACACACTTAATTCTCCAACTGGTGTGACTTGCATATTGAGTATAATGCCTGTACAGTAAACGTAAACTCTGCTGTTTATAAGTTAAAAGAAAATGAGGATGAGTAAAAGTATAGTATTATAATGTCATGATGAGTTCGTTTTTTTATTATAAATGCCTTTTATGAATAGTCCAATTAAAAACTTTCATGGTGAATAAATTACATTCACCATAGGCATGAAAATGGAGAAAAAAGGGATTTTTGTGAATATTGGTCTAAGTGGTCTCTTGACATTGGCAAATTTTCCTTATTCTGAATAAGGCTGTCTAAAGTTGTATTCTGTAGACCAGTGGTTTTTTGTGCTGTGCTCTCTGCAAATAATCTGAATGAGATCTTTGTGTTGCATCATAAAAGACCAATTAAAGTACTGGCTCCACATTTTGAAAAACTTTCCATATTAATGAATAAAACATTTTGAAACCATACAGCACCTTCACTGAAGGAGTGATGTTCTTCTGAAATCTTACTTTTTTCCTAAGATGGTGTAGTGCAAACAAAGCAAAGTTCTTACAAAATGTACTTGACGATTGAAAGGTGTTTCCCAAGATGCCTGCACTCCTCCTTCTCTGTCCAAGCATTACCTAAGCATGTTTTGTTTCACCTTGTGTATAGCACATTGGCATCTCCTCATTTAAAATAAATGTCTCCTGGGGAATAGATAAATGTAATAAGTACGAAAGTACTCACACCACACACTCTTCTTTTATTTTCGTGAGGTTTCCTCCTTTTCTTTCGTTCGTCCGTCTTCCAAACCAGTTCGCAATCCGTTTTCTCTGTCCTTGTTCAGTCTGTGTTCCAAAAGTTCGTAAGATCCAACAACTCCGCGCCGAGTCCAAATCACAAGCCGTATACCGTTATCCTTTATTTATTCCGTAAATCCGTTGTCCTTAAATCTTTGTCCACTCCAACCAAACTCCACTTTCTTCTCCGAAATGCATTCGCGCCGGTTCACTGTTTCCGGGGCATATATATTTTGTTTCCTGATGAGACCCACCTGCGTCTCGTTGTCTTTCAGACTGAGCCCTTTCCATCTGCAGGTCAGCTGGTTTCTCTTAGCGGCCATCTTGGTCAGGTCTAAGTCAAGTATAGTGAGCAAATCGTTCCTAAAATACCTGTCCTGGATGACCCTTCCTCTGGTCCTCTTACACTTGCTTTGTACTGCAAGGTGAGGAAGAAGACAGCAGTTACAGAAGTAGTTCCATATTCTTATACTGTATGTTGGTGCCATACAGAGCTCGCAGGTTGGTGACACCATCCAGGAGGTTAAGCTGTACAACAGACTTTGGAAACCTTTATAGCCCATTGTCTTGTCTGTTCGTTGCTGAATGGGAAGTCCTGGTCAGTCTGTTGATGACATAGGCCATTAATACTAAGCTATAGGGATCATCATGTAAATCGTTCTCTAACAAATATATATTTTTCAAATGTATATGCAAACCCAATATGGAATCATGTTTTTTGCAACACAGCTCACAGCAGAAACTCCTGCTCTGTACTTGGAGAAGTGAGGATGAGCATACAAGCTCCTCTAACCTGTCAATGCCAGAGTTGTGTGCATGAGAGTTGGTGCCTATGGAATGAATTGCCTATGGAAATAGGCGGAGCGGTGGCTCTGTGGCTGAGGATTCTAGCCTGTGGCCGGCAGAGGAATCCTAATCCGTTGGGCCCCTGAGCAAGGCCCTTAACCTCAGCTGCTCCGAGGGTGCTGTATAAATATCTGACCCTGCACTATGACCCCAAGCTTCTCTCCCTGTCTGTGTGTCTCATGGAGAGCAAGCTGGAGTATGTGGAAAGACAAATTCTGAATGCAAGAAATTGTATATGGCCAATAAAGTGATCTTAATGTCTCATCTGCCACTGATGTCACTGTGAACTTGTGAAATCACTGGAGTCAATCTTTAGCCAAAAAGCACTAGACTGATAATCTGAGATCTGTCCTCTACAGAACTCTGCCAATTGTGTGTATCCACTTGGCCAGTCCTAGTCACAGGTATGATATGATTCAACTTGTGAGGTCAACATGTACTTCGAGCAAGTATCATCATTCTAGCAGCTACATTACTCATCAACCCTTGAAGCATTTCACATTTTAGAATACTTCTACTTCTGCATCTATATTTCCTGGAAGTATGGCACCTTAGAGGAAAGGGCAGTAGAAAGCAATTTTAGAAAGGAAAATAAACAATTGAATTGGATCCGTTGGATTTCCTTCAGATTTTTACCATTTTATGCTACTCAATAATCTTAGTCTTCTCTTGGAAACAAAGATAACTGCACTTCCAAACAAGAGAAGGCATTTGGGCCATCTGGTCATCTGTAGCTAATTGATCTGAGTATCTCACCCATCTGTTCCTTGACAGAAGCAATGGTATTAGACAATATCAGAAGTGACAAAAAGATTATTCTAGAACCCCACAGCCCTCTGTGTAATACCAACATAAGTAGGTTTTCAAATTAAAATATAAGTGACACTCATTAACAGCCTCATCTTGCATCTAATGATCTCTTTTCAGTCAGCAGCAGTACTGAAACTGCCTTTGTTAAGGCACTTAATGATTTTCCTTTGTCTTCTGAGTTATTCTTCTCCTTTTGTACATCAGTACAGCTTTTGATTATATCAGTAATGATATTATTTATCAGGGTATCAAGGTATCAAACATGAAAAATCATAAGGAGATCTCTGGTTATTCCCTTTTAGGGAAGCCTATTTTAAGGACTGCAGTAGGTATGGCTCCTATTTGGCTACCAGGAACCAATTAGAAAATCATGTTGTTTTAAATCTGATGTTTTCCACTTACTCATTGTATTCCACAGGTAGGATCATTACTATTTAGTATTTGCATGTTGTCTCAGATTATTTATTATTCACCATCATAGACATGGATTTCACTGCTACCTTGATTAAACAGATTTGCAAACCATACAAGGGACTACTGCTGTGTATTTTGCACTACTTTGCTTTTATGATATTAAGGTATGGATGCAACAACATATTGAAGCTAAGCTGTCACAAGACTGAAGATAATAAGTTATGTACTGTAAAGCTTATATTATTAGGTTCCCAACCTTGGCTTCCCAAAGCTAGTGGTTTCAGCGCTTGTTGTTATTAACAGTGCCGAAATTAAACAGTTTCATCAAGATTTGGCTACTCGCAATTCTTACTAAATAGTGTTTTCTAAGGCATCTTCAGAATAATAAGACTCATTTCAAACTACAGTAAAGGCATTGTGCATGAACACATAAGTCCCATCCTCTGTAAAATGCACTGGTTTACACTGTAAATCAAATGGGATTTCTCATGCTTAAATATAAGGCAATGATTGGTTTATCCCCAGATTATTTCAAGGATTAATTGCAATATAGCCCAGTTTTTCAAATGAAATCTGTTCATCCAGGCCAAAGACCAGGCTCACTAAATAAATAGTTAAATAAATATTAGTCAAAGATAACACAAGTAAACACAAAATGCAGTTTTTAAATGAAGGTTTTTATTATTAAGGGAAAAAAAATCCAAACCTACATGGCCCTGTGTGAAAAAGTGATTGCCCCCCCTGTTAAAACATAAATCAACTGTGGTTTATCACATGTTTGGAAAGCTGAGTTCAATTTCTCTAGCCACACCCAGGCCTGATTACTGCCACACCTGTTCTCAATCAAGAAATCACTTAAATAGGACCTGCCTGACAAAGTGAAGTAGACCAAAAGATCCTCAAAAGCTAGACATCATGCTGCGATCCAAAGAAATTCAGGAACAAATGAGAAACAGAGTAATTGAGATTTATCAGTCTGGAAAAGGTTATAAAGCCATTTCTAAAGCTTTGGGACTCCAGTGAACCACAGTGAGAGCCATTATCCACAAATGGTGAAAACATGGAACAGTGGTGAACCTTCCCAGGAGTGGCCGGCTGACCAAAATTAGTGAGGACTCATCCAAGAGGTCACAAAAAAACCCAGAAGAACATCCAAAGAACTGCAGGCTTCACTTGCTTCAGTTAAGGTCAGTGTTCATGACACCATAAGAAAGAGACTGGGCAAAAATGGCCTGCATGGCAGAGTTCCAAGACAAAAACCACTGCTGAGCAAAAAGAACATAAAGGCTCGTCTCAGTTTTGCCAGAAAACATCTTGATGATTCCCAAGACTTTGGGGAAAATACTCTGTGGACTGATGAGACAAAAGTTGAACTTTTTGGAAGGTGTGTGTCCCATTACATCTGGCGTAAAAGTAACACAGCATTTCAGAAAAGGAACATCATACCAACATTAAAATATGGTGGTGGTAGTGTGATGGTCTGGGGCTGTTTTGCTGCTTCTGGACCTGGAAGACTTGCTGTGGTAAATGGAACCATGAATTCTGCTGTCTACCAAAAAATCCTGAAGGAGAATGTCCGGCCATCTGTTCGTGATCTCAAGCTGAAGCACACTTGGGTTCTGCAGCAGGAAAATGATCCTAGTGGCCTAGTCAAAGTCCTGACCTGAATCCGATTGAGATGTTGTGGCATAACCTTAAAAAAGCGGTTAAGGCTCAAAAGCCCTCCAATGTGGCTGAATTACAACAATTCTGCAAAGATGAGTGGGCGCTGTAAAAGACTCATTGCCAGTTATCACAAACGCTTGATTGCAGTTGTTGCTGCTAAGGGTGGGCCAACCAGTTATTAGGGTCAGGGGGCAATCACTTTTTCACACAGGGCCATGTAGGTTTGGATTTATTTTTTCCCTTCATAATAAAAACCTTCATTTTGTGTTTACTTGTGTTATCTTTGTCTAATATTTCAGTTTGTTTGATGATCTGAAACATTTCAGTGTGACAAACATGCAATTAAATAAGAAATCAGGAAGTGGGCAAACACTTTTTCACACCACTGTATATACGATTTTCCTTCTATTAGTGTGTCTATAAATGCAACTTTCTTTGCCAAAGTCATCACTTTCTTGTGTCTTTTAGGTCCAGGATTACTAGCACAAGAACTAGAAGTCCATTTATATCCCATATTTAATAAAAATAACACCAAAAATGTATTGAAGAGTGCTAACAGACACGAAAAAGGCACAAAATATGGACTAATACACTGTAGCCTTCCCCGAATTCTTTTTTGGGGGGGCGGCCCGCGAATAAACGAAACCAACTGGTACGAACCCGCTAAAAACCAGGGATGACTGTATTCTTGTGTGATGTATGCTGTCTGTTCAGACCTAAGAGACTACAACTCGTCAACAATTGTAACTTTGCTTAAAGATTTATATTTTTATCAAAGTTTATAATGTATAATTTAGCTTTATTATTGGATTTATTGTTAAGTTTTTGTGATTAATTTTTCTTTCTTTTTGCTCTTGGTATGTAAGTTGTACTCTTTTGTAGAGCCTTTCAATTTTTTTTCAAATGCACACAAATAAAATTACATATTATTTTTTCTACAGTTTCCTTCTGGATTAGTATGTATTGAACTTTTAAGGCAATACATTTTAGGGAAAGATGGCAAAAAACTAATGTTAGAGGCTTATGAATTTATAAAATATTATTTTGACTATAAATAGTGAAGCATGGGAATTGGGTACTTAAGAGTACTTAAGTATTTCATTTTTTTGTTTTGTGTTTGTTTTTTTGTAGGTGCAATCTGCCACCACTCTCAGAGGATTACAGGGAGGATGTGGGGACCAAAACGCATTTAGTGACTGCTAACCCCAGCATTATTGAAAAAAGGTAACAGTGTATTGTTTCTTTTTTTGTGGTTTCAGTATTATCAAAATAATAATGAAAATAATTGTATACAGTTATTGTTAACACAAAAATACCAAAGTATTTAAAAAATAAATAAGACTTTTTTCACTTAGTTTACGTATCATATAAGTGTATTTACTGCATGCTGTGTGAAGGGCTTGCTCAGGCTCATTAGTGCTGTGTGTGTTTTCACTACAGATTCAAAGCTATGCCTGGGGGAGCAAGGTTGAGTTACATTTTTCAGGTTGAGACCTGGCATCGAACTAAAGCTTTCATCTATCATAAATTATATGGCAGTGGTGAACATAACAGTTTACATGATCACTGTCAACTAGAGCATTTTTTAGTGTTAGTGTTGCTAGGCTATATAGTGTAAACTGTTTGTACAGGGAATGTGTATATTCTGTATTTCGCAATTTTCTTTACACCTAAATAACGCATAGTGTGAGGGACCATCAGCCAGTGTCTTTAGGAAGCTGCAGCTGTAAAGATTGATGTCTTGATGAGCTAAAGCTGTGGGTTGTCTTATGCCCGTCTAACTTCTCTCGAGAGACTGCTCTGGCCCTCTGAGAGGGAGAGAGAAGAAATATTATTCCCCTTGACCAATCAATGTGTTTTAAAGGACAACTCCCCCAAATCCACAGTTTGTGTGAGAAGCGGTGGGGGCTGGGTAGGTTTTGCTGGCCAGATGCCACAGAAGTGCAAGGAATGCAGCCAGTGATGCCAGCAAGACTGGCATATGTTGTTGGAGATACGGCCAGGAAAGGCAGCAGAGTTGTTTGAGATTGCGTTGGCTGTGTGAATGAAGTCACTAGGAAAGACAATTTGTGTGCAGGTGTGGCCACGAGGGTGTGTGAAATACATCTGGAATATGGTCTGGGATCTGAGGGAGAGCACAGCTAGATAAATCCATGAGCTGGATGATGGTGCATGTGTTTGAAAGAGTGAATGGTATGCCAGGAGACAACAGGCGTAGATGTCGGAACAACGTTGTTGTTGTTGTTGTTGTTGTTGTTGTTGGAACAACGTAGAAGAGGAACAATGTGTGAATTCCTGTAGAAACTTGAAGGGGTGCAGACAGAAAATGGTTTTCAGTACAGTGGGTTTTCTTTCCTGTATGATAATACTCAAGTAAAATGTGTCTGAAAGAAAGGGTTTGTAGTGCATGTGTATTTGTGAGACTGGAGAGCAGGAGACTCGGATGTAATCCCCTAGGCCTGATGTAGAAAAGAGAGGGCTAATTACTGTATGTCTACTACTGGACAGTGTGTTAATATGGGTGTTGTGAGTATTTAGTTGGTAAACCCGAGCTGAGGACACTCAGGTATATTACTCCTGAGGGAAGAGGGTCAGGAGTGCTGATTGTTTATCTCCTGGCTCCTGTTGTACCATGGTGTGAAGACAAGACAGCAGGAAGTGAAACCAGAAGGAGCTGGGCTCTCTGGCAATAAGTGAAATTTGGTGTGTCTTCACTGCCAGGACATAAAACTGTAGATTCTGTGTTGTTGATTGGAAAAAAGAAATAAAAATAGTGCAAAAGTAAAGAAACTGTGTGGTAAGACTTTGAAGATCATGTAACGTACAAACATAACCACAACAAGTTCACCTAGTGGGGTGGGGCCTGTCAGGTACACATAGGTTTTGTGATATGCATCCCCAGTTGTAAAGATATAGTAGTAATTTAGACATGCTTGTGAGTATCTTCATAATGTTATAGTGCTTTAACATTTATTGAGGTATTGATTAGATTAATGAATTTCAACACAGCCAAAAAACAGCTAGATTGCTTTTGGGAAGCAGGTGGAAAATGGACTGCATGACAAAAAATATTAAAACATGGCTGGAACGTGCAAATCCCAAAACAGGAAGGCTGTAATTGGACATAGGGCTATGAAACTGTAAGACATAATCGCCTTGCCTCCATTCTACATCACTGCAGATTTAGTGATTCATTTCACTAATGGGGAGAGGGGTGCTTTCAGTCTTTGCGCTTAATGGATCTGGTGAGAACCTCACCATGATAAGCAGCCTAAATGGATAATGGATGAATAGCTGTTATGTACAGTGCAGATGTAAGTTGGTATGCTGTGGAGCTACTGCACACGTACTTATTTAGCCTTAAATTGTTTTTTAAGTTACAAAAGTGGACAGAAATTTCCCCACAGTTTTTTCCCTATTACAGAAGTAATTATATTATGATTAAAGAACAACAGTCACACATTACACTGGCAATGTAATAAAATTCTAAGTTGTTGCTGAATTTGTTGTATGTATATGAATTACTCGTATAAGTTTACCTCCATTGCTTTTGTGCTTTTATATGGCCTTGAAATTATTCAGCAGATGTACTTTAGGCAAAATTATACATGTGCTTTTCAAAACCATTGTTCATTCACTCAGACTTTGGGTTAAATTTCATTTTACTTAGTCATTCAGAGGAATGACTCTGAAATATATTTTTAACATTGATTTTGTAGTGTAGCCTATCATGCTGACAGGTGTATCCCTGGGGATCTCTGTGGAACGTGTGTAAGGTAGTGTGCATGGTGTTAAAATTGTGCTCAGGTGAGAACAGGCACTATTTAGGGGACATTACTGTAAGTAAAACATTTCCTGAAATATCCATAAATGTTACAACGTCATTGAAATAGCACAAGTAAAATACACAGAAGAAAACCATAAAAAGACAGCACAATAATGTAAAATTAGATTTTTCAAAAGTGCTGGTTTATGAAAGAATACAGTAAAGTCTTAAAATTAGGTGCAAATTTTGAGTTCTGGAAAAGCCTTTGTAAAGGACTCTTGGGAGCTGTGGAGAAGAAGGCATAACTGAGAACTGTAGCATGAAAGCATGACCAGGTCTTGGGTGTTAGGAGACTTGGTTGCACAGGGTCGTGCTTCCCCATGCCTTCCTGGTGCTGAGGAACTGCTGTTGCTTGAGCTGACTTGTTAACCACAGGCTACTTCATTTCAGTTTTCTGTTTTGGGAATATTTTAACATGTACTTTCAGCTCTGAAAATACTGAATGACGAGGTCTCCCAAGTTGTTTTTTGAGTAACGGTGCTTGACCAAGTGGAGGTTGAACACTGCTTGTAGGGTTGAGTATGAGCTGTGTCATGAATTCCCCCAAGTGGCGACGAACAGTTGGCAGAGTGTTGCTGAGAGTAGGGTGGGATCAGAGATTTCGTGGACGGTGGCATGTTAGCAAAATGCTTTGTATTCCTCCCTCACAGTAACTATTGGGAAACTGGCCCTGGTATGAATATGTGTCTGTCTGTATGTGCCCTGTAATGGGTTGGTGTCCTGTCCAGGGTGATTCCTGCCTTTTCCCTTACTTATTGGGATAGCTTCTTGTCTCTTGCTTCTTCTCTCTTTTTGGGTTTGTTTTATGTCTTGTTCATATGCTTACTTAATAGTAGCCTTGTTTTTTTGTTTTCTAGATGTACAAGTGTTAAATGGACCCATCTTAAAATAACTCAGCTTGTGTAGTTACTGAAACCTTTTAATATTCCCTTCTAGGCTTTGGCATTGTTCAGTATCACATTGTTCAGTATCACTAAAGGGACCTTCCTGTCTGAAAGCTCTCTTTTCATTTACGCCTTGGAAACCTGACTTGAGTTAAACAATTAGTACTAATTGGAAACCAATAAGTACTAAGGTTCAAGGGGCTACTGAGCACTCTCTGCTTTGTGGTTTATTTTGTTTTTCATTAGTGGTGATTATATAATACTATAAACAGCAACCAATAAATTAAAATGATTGATTCAAAGACAGATACAATTTCTCTGAAGCAAATAAAGATGGTAACCTTGTTATTTTCTAAGTACAGTATATGGGCACTAAACTCTGAGCACAGTCAAAAATTACCCTCAGGACATATTTGCTTCTTGAGCCAGTCAATGGCCAACCTAAGAGCTACTTATTTTATATCCTGTGGGTGCTGCAGGCAGTTAAACCCCATGATGCCCATTCTGCTGATATCTGGAAAATAAACTTTTCTATTTGAACTGCTTTTCACACAAAGTACAATCCGTTAATTTTTTTTACAGGTTGGATGTAACAGTTTGTAACACTGTTTGTTAACAGTGGAATGAGGGACTTGGATTAAGGAAAGTAACAATCGTAACAACATGTATGGAGCAACAGCATTTTCATAAAGCAATAAAATTAATCATTGTTTCTGCTATGCAGTGTAATGTTGAGGGGATACTTTCTCTGGAATAAACTGGGGAATAAAGTTGGGTACTTCCAAAAGTTCAGCCCCTTCTATGGTATCCCATTTGGTGAATTAAAAAAATTATGGATATATTTATTTGAACTTATTTTAAATAAATACTTCAACTAAATAAATCTTTTTTTTCAAAACCTGAATGTGAAAACAGAAAACGTCTAAGGCTAAGATGAGTTACTGTAAATGTCATTTAAAATTTAAATATGTCCATTGCATGAGTATTCAGACCTGTGAACTGATAATTTAGCGTAAGCATTTTTGACAGTAGATACAGCTACATGTCTTTTTGGGTAAGTCTCTACCAACGTTGCATGCAACCTTGGTGCAATTGTTGCCCATCAAACATCAAACTGGCCTCACAGTGGCATCCCTCCTTGCCAGGCTGCTCAGTTTGAAGGAACGGCCTGATCTATGCAGTGTCTGGGTAGTATGATACACCTTCCGCTTCTTAATGATCAACTTACCCGTGATCAAAGGGATATTCAGTGTCTTTGAAGCGTTTTATATTGTTGTGTTAATCTGTGCATTTGTCTTCGACTTTAGCTCGAACTAGAACTTTGTCTTCATGGCTAAATTCTTGTTCAAAATTTCCTGACCAAAGGACCCTACGGAGACAGATGTATTTATTATGACATCATGTTAACCACCATTATTGAACACAGTGGCCACTCAGCTGACTTACTGGTGTCTCTTACTGGTAGGTTAATTGGCTTTTAGGAAAACTAGCCCTGATAGGAATGTGTGTGTTTCTATG